AAGATCTCCTCAAGCCTTTGCAGAGTTGGTATACCCAGGACAGATTCCAATACTTTGTGGTATGTTAGGTCTTGATGCAACAGCTTCAAAGTTTTCCTCTAATTCTAATTCTTATCATTACTTTATTTCACCAGAAAATGGGTGGAATAAAATTCCAAGTGTTTCTAAAAACAGAAGTAATTGGATTCTTCAGTTTCTCCGGCAACATAAACCTGACATAGTTTTGAAATCTGAAGCACCAATTAACAGGCTTGTCATGGAAAGAACACTTACAGAGCAAAACTTAATACCCCATTTGTAGATTTGCCTAATGGTGTGTTGGCAAGCCAGGCCTTTTTCCCCTGTTTCTTTGCCTGTGTTAAATGCTTTCAAAGGGCGTAGGCAAGTATTCTTGTCAGCAGGGACTTGGCAACCCATGTCCCCTTCCTGGACCCCCTGTGCTCAGCCTCAAGACAGCGAGACAGCTGGTCCCCCGGGCGGTGCTCCGTGCACCCAGGGCTGTGGGAGGGAGGGCAGTGAGTGGGGGGAGCTGGGGTTCATCTGTCTCCTTCAGGACCCCCACTTGGGGTCTGTGAAATACCTGTGGCAGCAGGAGTTTCTGAGACAAGAGGATGAAGTCGAGGTCTGATTATGTGATTTTATTTTTTCAGCTGACGTGGCTCCAGTGGAGGATATATAGGAGGTGAGAGAGGGGATTAAATTGCCTCATAGTGAAAAACACACTTTTCCCTGCTTCTTAGTATGGAACTAAGGAATGGTAGAGAAATAGTTTCATGAAGTAATAATTGCCCCTTGAAGAAGCTTCCATTAGTTAAAAAACAATCATTCTAAGCCAGATGCGAGGGAAAATGTGCATGGAATCAGGGTGGGAAGTATATATTCAGCATGAGATGGGAGAGACAATGAACTTGATTTTCTGAGTTTCCACTGTTGCTACAGGAATATCAAATCCACTCAGTCACGTCCATCTGTATATTACGTATCAGATGGATAGAGACAAAACTCCATTCACAGAGTGCTTACTGCCAGGTACCCCTAGGCACTTCACATACACTACCTTGCTCTTCACTTTGCATAAAACATACTATTATCCTTCTTTTACAGTGAAAAACTGAGGCCCGAAAAGCTTAACTACTTGTCTTAAGGTAGACAGCTAGTAGGAGGTAGCAGGAAGACTCAAACCCTGCCCTGTCAGGGGCTGGATTTTATGCTGCTTTTATTTTGACTGCTGAGACATAGATAAAATGAAGCTGTCCTTCAAACTGTATGAAATTCTTTCTTCCTTTCCTCCCTTCCCTTCCTGTGTATGTATGTTGCTCTGTGCCAGGCAAATCTGGGACATGTGAAAGGAACAAACCTGATTACACTTAGTGAAATAAGTCAGAGAAGGACAAGTAACATATGATCTCACTTATACATGGAATCTTAAAAAAGAAAAAAAAAACCCCTTAGAAGCCAAGCTCAGAGATTCAGAGAACAGATTGGTGGTTGCCAGAGGCAGGAAACGAGGTGGGCGAAATGAGCAAAGGTGGGCGAAGGCACAAACTTCCCATTACGAAATAGTAAGTCACAGAGATGTTATCACGTACGGCATGTGAGCAGTTCACCATGCTGTATTGTATGCATAAGAAAGTAGCTAAAAGAGTGATCTTAAAAGTTCTCATCACAAGAAAAAAAATAACTATGTATAGTAATGAATGTTAACTAGAATTGCTGTGGGGATTATTTCACAATAAATACAACTATCAAATCATTATGTTGTACACCAGAAACTAATGTTATATGTCAATACTACCTCAAAAATTTAAAAACATCTTCAGTTACATTGCTCTATTTCTTAGCAAATTTTGTGCACAGTATTTTTATATGTAGTATTTTCTGGTATTGCATTAATAAAGAACATGATTTTAAAGAACAAGCCTGCGGTTTTGCTCTGGTGGAAGTCACGGTGGAGACAAATGCATAAACAAGTGGTAGCGAGACTCCTAGGACTTGCACTGCTGGTGACGCGGGTGCTGTGGGCTCATAGGCGGGAGCCATTAGGTTGCTGGGATATTTCCTGGAGAAGATGACATTCGCTGGTCATGAAGGATGGCTGGGGCTCTGCAATGTCCCACGTAAAGGGCAAAGCATGTTTGAGCCCAGGAAGATGAGTGTGTGGGAAATAGGAGAAGAGACTAAAGAAGCTGGGGTCATTTCATGCTATTGAAGTTTTCCATGAGACCGCTAGATCATAAAGGTGTGTGTGTGTGTGTGTGTGTGTGTGTTTAGAAAAATAGCTAGCAGCAGTGTAAAGATGGATTAGCAGGGGAGAGAGAACCCAGCTTGGAAGATGAAACCATTCTCAATTGGAAATGACCAAGACCTGATTAGTGAAGGCAGCAGTGACCAGGACAGATGAATGGAAGATGTCCCAAAGCTAAGTCATGATGTCAGCTCAGAATGACTGTGGTCTCTGCCCTGCAGACTAGGTGGTACTATAATAAGCAGAGATGGGCCCTCAGGCCCAGGAGCCATTTTGATCGGAAGAAAGGCTTTGGACAATGGATATGCACATAAGATTCTTAGGTGGAGATTTCTGGCCCTCTGCTGGGGTAAAGCAATTTCAGCTCATGAGAGGACCATGTTCTATCTATTCCGGCTAGAAATTGTGAAACATTTGAATTCTGCCTTATTATTCTAGTGTCTCTCAGAGCCAAGAGGAATTGTGCCATTTTTTTGGACCATACCTAAATTATCAGAAGCAGCCTGGAAAAAAACTCATTTCCCACGCTTAGGGACATTCCCAGAAATACCTGGCAGATAAGTGTCCCTGTATCTGGGGGAACCATGACACCTCTTAGGCATTTAAGAAGGAGAAGGGGGGAGAAGGTACAGAAAATAAGTAGCATAGACAGTAGATAGAAAATAGATGGGGGGAGCAAGAATAGTATGGGAAATATAGAATCTAAAGAACTTGAGACACATGGTCATAAACTAAAGGGGGGGAATGGTGGGGGAGGGGTATGCAGGGTGGAGGGGAATGAAGGGGGGAAATAGAACAACTGTAATGGCATAATTAATAAAATATATTTTTAAAAAAGACTCATATTTTATAAACCCAAGTATGCCTTTTGGGACTCGTGTTGTGGACTAAAAAGGCACCCCCGAGTCCCTTCTTCCCTTCCAGCTTCTCCTTTTTCTCTTCCTTCTGTGTAAATCTGGAGTAGGATAAATGAGAAAGTGGGATTCTTGAGCTTTAAAATGAAACAATACATGGCTAGAGATGTCCTCTGTCACTAGAGGGCACCAGCTGCACATAAAATGTCTACGAATCAACGTCCTTAAACATTCTTCAAATACAGCAAAACGCCACATGGAAATGGCTTGTAATAAGGTAGCTTAGCCCCTATCCTGTTCATAGTAACTCCATTTCTGCACCTGAGAAAAAGGAACATGCTACCTCTGACTTTATAGTGTTTTCAGAATTTTTTTCAATGCTCACTTGAGGATGTGTTTATTGATTTTAGAGAAAGAGGAAAGGAGATGGGAGAGGAAGAGGGAGATTTGAGAGAGAAACATCGATGGGTTGCGTTCCGTAGGTGTCGTGACAGGGGCTTGAACCCACAGCCTTTTGGCAAATAGCACCGTGCTTCACCTAAGCCACCAGGCCAGGGCCAGAATTTTCTTTTAATTCAGAAAACTAGTAAGTTGGAGTTAAAAGGAACATACGTTCTCCACAAAATCACATGACTACATTGTCTTTGCTTCCACTTACCTGGCCCTTACCATGGGCACCTGATGTGTGAAACCTGTGAATTTTGCACACGGTTTTACTCCAGATTCTGCAAGAGCTCAACATGGTTGGTATGGGCAGAATGTCTGCTCTGGACAGCAAAACTCCCAGATAAAAGTCACCACTCCACTCTGTACAGTATAGGTGTTTAGAAAACCTAGATGTTAACTACACCTTCTGTTGAAAGTTTAGAAAGAAGAACTGCCCAGACATTTGTTTTTTTGTGGTCCTGCATGGAAATGTGCAGAAACAGAACGTCATGGAGAAGCTGCCAATGGTCCAGTTTCCATCAGCTTTGCCCCAGGGGGCTGACCCCCAGTGCCAAGACCTGGCTGGAATTTATACAAGCAAAACTGGGCTCATTGTTTCTCATCTAGGATGTTTTTCCTAACTCACGGTCTTGTGCTTTGGAAAAAAAAAAAAGTGACCATTCACCACAGAACTATTTGATTCTGTTGAGTGCTGACAGGCACTCTGTACGGAATAGAGTTACAGGGAGGCTGCCTACCCTGGTGTCAGGTCAGCTATAATTAGCACCCGTGAGAGGGCACGAAATTCAGGCTGAGGGAGCGAGTGCATTATGAGCCCTGCGAGCACATTAGTTGCCGTGCATGTCTGAGTAATGTCAGGAAGGATCTTCAATCACAGTGTGCTTTGTGCTCCATGCTCTAAAAATGGACACTCCACCACTAGCTCCTCACCAGGCTGTGGGAGACTAGGTGAATAACCTTAGCAAACACAGGAGGAAGGAATTAGCTCAAGTAGAAGATAAAAGAAGGCTTAAACAGTGTGAGGCTTTCTTGCCCTTGGAATCTATGCGTTTTTTTTCCAGGACCAGGAGGGGACAGAGGTAAACAGGTTGAAGAGGTGCTCCCAGGGTGAGGGCAGGGCCCCCGGGGGGATGGGTTGAAAAGCCATTGAGGGCTAGGCAGTGGGTGAGGTTGTGTATCATCAGCTCAGTGGTTTTAGGGGGAGGAACACTATTGCTGTTTTACAGAGGAAGGAATGGGCCACAATGATTTTAAAAGCATACCCAAGGTGAGACGGCCCCTTTTAAGAGTTAACAGATAACAAGTAGCAGCTGCTACTGACCACCAACACCCCCACAGCAAACACTACAGAGAGGGTCTCCTCTCTGACCCTGCAACACTGCCAGGCAGATGGTATCATACCCATTTCGTAGATCAGAAACCTGAGGCTGGGAGAGGTTAAATCACTCACTCACCCAAGCGCATCGCCTCCCCCGGACCCTCTCAGGCCGGTCGGCAGTCTTCAGACGGTCTCCGCCAGACCCCGTCCCCAAAGGGGCTGCTTCTTCCTAGGGGGAAAAAGGCCTGGTAACTAACTCATACGCACACCCTGGAAAACCTGTGTTTACATCATATCGCTCGAACCAGCACTCCCAGGTGTCTGGCAGAGCAATGACCCTGTGCTTCTAGCCCCAAAAGAGGCCCCTTGGCCAAGCGCACTTAGGAAATTTTACGTGCTGTATCTTCTTCTTAGAGATTCCTAACCTTACCTGGAAAAGAGAAGACGCTTTCTTGATCAAAGACAGAGTTTGCGCAGACCACCTATAACTCAGTTACGTGACCCCTCCCTCAGCCTCCTCACCCCTGAAATGAGTTGATACACGTGAAACAGGTGAGGGCAGTTTCTATAAGAGCAGGGAGCTTATTGCTGCCAGGATTCCCACCTGTGAACAGGCGCCCCCCCCCCACCCAGCACGTGGGGCATGCGCACTGGCGGCGGTGTGCATGGGGGGGGGGGTGGGTCAACCGCCCCCCCCCTCCCCGCCCCAGTCCCCTCCGCACAAGCAAAAGCATGGCTGGGAAAAGGTGGATATTCGACCGGTTGCGGTCTGCACTTCCCTTAACCTTCTTGTGCCTCGGTTCCCTAATCTTAAAATAAGGATAAGATAGCTCCTCTTTTTATTTTTGTGAGCAAATGCACGTGAGTTGTTATTGCCCTTAGAAGGTCCAGGGAGAACACTGAACCCACCCAGAAAAAAAATGAACTTTCCCAAATGCATCTTACAAGCCCTTTTGGTAAAAAGTAAAACTTTTCTCGCTTTAAAGTGTATTTGGGCAAAGCCTACTTGAAGCCTAATCCTTTCATTCTTTCTCGGGAGGAAATACAGTGAAGCAATAGAGAAAGGAATTGGCTGGTCTGGAAACCATGGAGAAGAGTAAACGAAACCTCTGGGAAAGAATGCAGACCGCTGCTTTGCCGTAGGACCGGCGGGTCTGTGACGTCAGACCCCGTCTGCTAGATGTCCACAGGCCGCCGGGGAAGGTGTGCCGGGGACATCCGCCAAGGTCAGGTGAAAACGAGTGCATATAAGGGACACTGTCGATAAATTTCTCAAGATTCCACATAATCCTTTAAACAAACTCAACATGTTTCCATTCAAGTAACTGTATAATTTCACAGATGTTTAATCTGAAAAAAAAAATAAATATTCCTCCGGAAAAGTACCGAGCAATTACAGGCGCTTTCCTCCGCCCTTGCCGATATGACATGGAACACAAAGGTTTGCGACCTTGAGCCAGGGAAGCGGAGTTGGACAGGGGGTGAGGGCAAGGAGGTGGCAGAGGAAGGTCAGAGAATGTTATTGGGGATAGAGAGCTTCCTTTCAAAGCTGCTTAAGCCGCACCTGATTCCCTGAGGCTAAAGAAGTCCTACAGAGAGAACAAAAACCAATAAAACTTTACATACAAACTGCAGAATAAAAAGAAAGCGCATGGTATTTTGTGCATGTGTGGGTATATGTGTGTGTGTGTGCATTTTAGTATCAAAAACAAAATGTATGGTATGCACATCACTGAGCTAGGGCCACTTTTTTATTTTTTAGAGATGTTATTTATTTATTTTTTACTGAGCGGGAAAGGGAGGGAGAAAGAGAGGGAGGGAAACATCAATGCAAGAGAGAAACAACCATCGGTTGCCTCCCCTGCGGGCCCCGATTGGGGACCAAACCCACAACCCAGGCTTGTACCCGGACAGAATTGAACTTGATGTCCTTTTGCTTTGCAAAATGACGCCCAGCCAACCGAACCACACAGACCAGGGCTAGGGCAGGTTTTTAAATACCATTGGACCTCTTAAGCCATTCAGAGGACTTTGATGTCTTAAAACAAGGCACTTGATAAAAAATGAGTTTGCTAGAAGCTTGGCAGGATTTTTCAGATAAGCTGAGGGAGGGAATCCTTACAGTTCATAACAACTCATGGAAAACACTTGTCATCTAAGTAGGTACTCAATAAATGTTAGCATCTTTCTCTCTCCCTTTCTTTCATAATAAAGGGATGAAAAATACACGAAGGTGCATAGGAGAGAGAATAAATAGGGAAAGAGAGAAAAGAAAGAAAGAAGAATCTAAAGAAAAAAGAAACAAAATTTCCCCCACCCCAAGAGACATGGAAGAAATGTGTGGATTTAAATATTACAGATATCTGTAGACAGGTCAGGGAGTTTTCCACAGCGCGTGCTACGAGCAAAATCCTGTAGTGTAGGTGGCTCTTTAAAAAATTAGACTTTATAGTCAATTTGCTATATAACACCAAATTGCATACCTTAAAGAGATATGAGCACCAGTCAGATGGGACTTGTCCTCAAATGCTTGTTTCTTATCTCTGAGTGTTTGTTTTAAAGGTTAAAAAATATTTTTAGCAGCAGTTGTGAGCTATAACTTTAAAAAATAACCTTTGAAATCAGACCGAGATCATCTTGTTGACCTTGGTTGGACCATATGATTCTCTTCAAGTCCAGAGGCGTGAATGGATCTCTTTGTGTGCTTAGCTCTCATCCAAGCCAAGCCAGCCGGGGTTTTGTTTTGGAATTTCTGTGAGTATGGCATATACAAATCGGTTTTGATTTACAGATACACATAAATAGATATGACTTCCTTTCCAGGAAGAAGGCATGGTGCCTAATGTGCTTGCATTTACACACTTGCAGCTCTTTTAGAATTCTGCGTTGCAGCTGGGGCCTGGTCCAAGTAGGCCCTTCTGCAGGAAGCCTCACCCCCAAATGCTTGTTGTTAGACAAGTTGCCCTGGAAAAGCATCCAGACAAGGCAGTGGCAAGGAGGAGACTGGGGCAAAAGAAGGATTTTGGGGGCAGGAATCTAAACATCTCCCTGTAAAGGTTTCACAAGCAGCCAAACTTTATTTCTCTGGATCTGGCTTTCTTTGCTTTAGTTAGTTCCTTTTTTCAGGCACGGGTGGTCCTTTGGCTGGGAAACATTGACTGCTACACTTTTTCCAACATGTGGTTTTCAGTCAGAGAAGACTTATATCATAGATGGGGTTGATTTGGTCCCGTCAGCGGGTGTTGATTTTCCAGTTGTGTATGTGGTTCCTTTTCATCACGTAAGCAAAACCTAGAATTTAACCATCCATCCCCGAAAGCTCAAGAACACTTAGGGGGGCCCCGGAACAATGGCTTTTGGGTTAAGTACACGTGAGTTAAGTGTAGCAAAGAGATAAATAGGTAATGCCCTTGTAGGCGTCAGGAATCTGCCCGTTTGGAGGCCGCCCGGTCAGTTCGGTGAGAGTGCTAAAGAGGTCAACGGCTGCCTCGCTTTCCAGGCTGGCTGGCGTCGCACAGAGAAAGCTTGTTGTGCGGCCCCAGGTGGAGCCCCTGCTCCTGGAGAAGCAAACGTGTCTGTTGTGCAGAGGGGGCATTAAAGAAAAGCGCCCTCTGCAGCCTCTGCGGCCCTGTCTACACATTCGCCCTTTGTTCCCACACAACCCAGAGGGATAAAGGACGCCTCTGTCCTCTGTCCGGTTGACCTCTCCTCTGCGGAGCTTTCTGCTTCCTTTCATACCCTACCTTCATCTACACTGTTCCTGTGACTGGAAGGTGGTAAAAGAAACACAGTTCAGAGAGTAGAAACAAGTGTGCGGGAAGGATCCTGTCACGGGGCTGAAACGAATGAAAAAGCCACGCCTTTAGTTTCTCCGTCTGGATCTGGAGCGGCTGAGGGCGAAAGAGCCGCGGCTCGGAGCAGCTGTCAGCAGGCGCTGCGGGGCTGCACTGGGCGGCGAGCAGACATTCCGGGGGCAGCCGCTCTGTCCACAGTCTGGACAACACCTGCTCCCCTTTGTCCCAAGTCAATTCTTGTCCCTCATCTCCTTTTTATATTGTCTCTCACGGTCTCTTTTTCTTCCTTTACTTGTCTAGTTGTCATTTTTATTATTTTTTTAATTCTCATCAAAGAATGTTTTTTGATCTTAGAGAGAGAGGAGGGGATAAAGGGAGAGAGGAAAAGAAGAAAAGAGAGAAACATGGATGTGAGAGAAAAACATTGATCAGTTTCCTCCCATTCGTGCCCTGACTGGATATTGAACCCACAACGGAGGTAAGTGCCCTGACCAGGGATACATTCTCGCAACATTTTGGTTTATGGGACGACGCTCCAACCAACTGAACCACTCAGCCAGGGCTTTACTTGTCATATTTTACCCTCTGCTCACAACTCTAGACTCCTCTCGCCTTCCACCCACCTAGCAAATTGCCTCAAGTCCCTGGCTCTTAGCGTGCGCCATCTATCAGGACAATGATAATAGTAATAGTGGCTATCGGTTACTGAGACCGTATCACATGCTTCCAATCTCACTGCAGTGTTCCAACAACCTTTGGGGTGGTGTGCTACTGAGGACAGGCCAATTATTGCAATAAGCAGTCCCAGAATTGCTGCAAGACTGTTTTTTGATCTTAGACAGAATCTGGAGCACATGTTCCCAGCTGGCCAGCTCACCTTCCAACAGTGAGTGCAGGGTTACAAGCCCCTTTCACGTCTGCCTCAACCATGTGGAGTTTTTGCAGAGAACAGAGAGAGAAGCATGAAGGATTGCAAGGATTGCAGGGATGTTTGGGGGCCAGGCTTCCGGGATGCATCCCACCAGTTTCCTCACTTTCTATTGGCCACAGTGGGACATGTGGCCCCTCCTAGCTGCAGGAAAACCAGGAAGCGCAGGATGAAGACAACACCACGTGTAGTGCATGCAGCATGCTCCCTTCCACAAGTGGGTGCTGTCAGACCCCCCATGTAAGGCACTGAGGCTCTCAATTTATTTGGAGTCATCAGTTAGTAAACAGTAGAACCCCGATTCCAACCTGGGAAATCTGACTCCAGAACTCCCCTCTTAACCTTGTGTTCTTCCTCCCCTGACTCTCTGCCACAAAAGGTTATTTCTTTTTTTACACGAATACTTCACCTTTTACAAAACTTGACTCCCCTGCTTACCACACCATGCTGCACCTGTTGTACCAGACTGCGGGTGCTGCGTCAGCAGCAGGAGCCACAGCGCCCGGA